TAAATAGACAAAAAATAAAAAAACAGTGCATAATCTTCATTTGTTGTCATACTCCTTTGATAATAATATTTTTAAAAAACTTGTCTTATTCCACACGCAATTTAATCAACAAAATCAAATTTTGGCAACAAAATCACTGAATCCATTTAAAAAAACTCAGCAACAACAATTTTAACTCTATTTCAAAATAATAAATTAAAAAGATATTTTTAAACTAAAGTATACAATGATATATAACAAATTTTTCTTTCTTCTCGCAGACGGCTATAATCACATCGTTCGAATCAATGGTTCCACATGAAAAACGTTGTAAAACAAAGCAATGTTTAAGATAATCATAATATGCTTATAAATATGTGTGTACGTGTGTGTGTGCGCGCGCGCGTGTGTGTGCATATTTTGCGCATCTAGAATCTATGTTTGTATTAATTTGTAGGTATTAATATGTTGTAATATTAATATGTATATATTTAAGTTTGTACGTATGTATTTATTGCATATAAGTGTGTATGTAAGTGTATATATAAACGTACTATTATTCATGCATGTATGTACGTACGTGTGAAATCGTGTGCCAGTTCTATATATATATATATATATATATATATATATATGTGTGTGTGTGTGTGTGTGTGTGTGTGTGTGTGTGTGGACATATATATTACATATTATATAATATATATATATATGTGTGTGTGCGTGCGTGCGTTTGCGCACGTGTGTGTGTGTGGTTGTACGGGTACGTGTTTGTGTGTATTTGATTTGTATTTGAGTGCATGTTTAAATGTGAAATCTATGTATGTATTGTATGTACTGCGCATGTTACATACATTTATTTCGTCTAATGTTTGTTTTGTCTTTATGTTTGTATTGGCATTTTATGTAGGTTTAATATTTTAAATGTGTTTGTTTATGCTTCTGCCAGTGTGCTGGTTTGGTATGACAGTTTTTATGTCCAAGTAGGTTTGAAGATACAAAATCTTAAGACATGTTGTACGCATTCATTGATGCTCAAAAATGTTAATTGAACAACTGCTGTTTTTTGTCTAAATTTTGTCAAAAGTTTGAAGCATCGAAAAAACTGTTTGGCTCACGTTTCAAATCCTTCAAACACAGTTTTGTTAAAATACTCAAATACTGAATATTTAAATACTTTGCAAACATTCTAAATTCAGTATTTAAATAGTAATTAAATTCTGAATACTTCTACTTGTATTTAAATACTGTCTACATGTAAGCAAAAAATATGTTGAATATCATGAAGTATTCATTTGATACAATTTACAAGGTTAATAAAAAAAATTACGTGTTCAATAAACGAATCACACATTTGAACATTTTTCATTTTTAATTATTCAGTAAAACGCAGAGCAGCTTACATGTTATTCTATACTTATAATTATACTTTCGTGTCACAAAGGCTGTACACTATCTACGCCACACGATGCACATACACATTATGTATGCACGCACAAGCACCGCATCATACGAATATGTATGATGGTCTTTGAGTTTTGGACGGACAGTATTCGAACCATGCGTAATAGGAGCCCGAGACATGGCACTTCTACTGACTGAGCTAACTCGGTGACCAGAAGACACAGATTGATCTAAAAGTTGCATGTCAAAGAAAATAAATTATTCAATTACTATTAACGACCCCAAAGTAATAAATACTGCCTAAATATGGCTATTTAAGTATTTGAAGACCTCTTAAAAACAAGGGCAAGTATTTAAACGCGATTTGAATATTTAAGTACTCTAAATACTTAGCAACACCGCTTATACCTTATTTCAGGTTTCAATCTTTTTTTGTGCATATGATAAACTGAGCTGCATTACCAGCGTTAAAATACAAACGCGTTTAACCAGAGAGGGCCCATGCAAAAAAAATTTCATTGGTCGCTTTATTTTTATCGACCTGTTTGAACACATTTATTTGGCAAATGCTAACTTCAGTACCTACCCAATGATGACACCAATTTATTCTTCAAATCAAAACTTTTTAATGTAGATTAATAACCATAAAAGCTATTTTTTACTAAAAACTTGTAAACGCTTTTGTGCATTACCTTTTTCTACATCTAGAATGAAGTTTTGCCTCAGTCCTGTGTTAAATGTCATATATCCATATCTTGTCAGGTTTTCCAATTTTCACTTTGGAGTTCTTTTTCCATGTCGGTCGGTTTTGGTACAGATTAAGCTAGTTATAATTTTGCGTCTTCCATATAAAATTAATTAAGATGTTTTGTCACATTTATCATTTTGACAACATTCTTAAAAAATATGTAATTATATTTGATTAGTTAAATTACGAAAGGACGTGTTACAGCTGATATGCAAACTGGTATAATTGATAATATGGAAAGAAAATATATTTTCGGGAAAGATAGAAAATTAAAAATAAAACAAATAAAAACTTTTTAAAAATTGAAAACATTAATTATTTTAAAATGTTATGAGTCTTTGTGTAAGTTTGGTTTATGGCGGATTTTTTGACAATTTCATGAAAAAGGAATTTCATATCCCTTGGGAATAGCCCTACATCCTATATCTTTGGGTTTTAATAAAAGGAGACATGAAGACTTATGAAAAAAAAATAATGATAAATAAATAAATATCATGAATGCTTCATTAAATTGAGTTTTTAAATTTAAAGTTATTTACAAAAGCAATTATTCAGTATATATCATAACTATGAAAAAATTCTTTCAAAAACAATTATATTTTAATTTGATTTATCCTTTGGTAAATTTCTAGTTAACCTAAGTCTCGCTCGTTCGTTGTTCCAGTGTTTTAATACATCAACGCACCAAAACTGAATATTTTAGGAGCGTTATTTCAGCGAGCCCCCGCCATGAATATTTCATCATATTTCGATCGGGCTGTGGTGTGAACTACTCAACAACAATGAACAAACAAAGTAAATTCCTTCCGAACCCAAGTCGGTGCGTTAATTTGTAAATAATGTCATCCCTATAAAATTATCCCTAGAACAATAGAGCCATAACTTCAGATATGCCACTGTATTATGCATGTATGTGTATATATATATATATATATATATATATATATATATATGTGTGTGTGTGTGTGTGTGTGTGTGTGTGTGTGTGTGTGTGTGTGTGTGTGTGTGTGTGTGTGTGTGTGTGTGTGTGTGTGTGTGTGTGTGTGTGTGTGTGTGTGTGTGTGTGTGTGTGTGTATACACACATAGATATAGTTACACATGCTTATATTCGCACGCCTTCTACCCACGTTATTTTCATAACAGTAACATCTGAAAAAAGCGGATTAATATCTGAAAAATAATACTTGCATTGCTTTCGTTTTTTATAACGAGGCAGATATGTTTGTTTTTTCATGAGGAGTTTATTACAATTTTACATCAGCAAATACGTTGGTAAACAGACATTCTTAGTTGATATCGCAAAAAAGAAACAGTAAAGATACAATTAAGTCAATTATATAAACGTCTAAATTGAATATTGAAATAAAAAGGCGAGTTTACGATAGTGTACAACACGACGTGCGTACATCTGTGAGTGCATAGCATGACTGAAAACTGGCAACGACAACAGAGCATCGCGTGTTTTAAATACATTTCGTTACCTCTCTTGTTCAAACGGTTTCTTTTTAATTTGAAATATTGTTCCGCGAGCAATGAACAAGCCGCTTAATGTCCCTCGGACACCTCGTTATGTCGTATAATTCAATTAAATGGCCAGCCATGACTTACGCACCACCACTTCTACTCAAATATAATTTTATTTAATCATCATAATCATTTTAAAGATGAGTGATTTTAAAGAATGCACTGGAAGGCCTTTGTCACTGGCCAGTCGGTAACGCTGCAGTTAATTAAGTTAATGAATCATAAGAAAAATATTTACTCAGCCCTTTAAACAAAATTAATGTTCAGATTATATTTCAACTAACTAAGCTTTATTTCATCTAATAATACTTGAATAAAGGTGGTTCAATATTACTCAAGTCATGTTTACATTTTTTCTGCGACTTCATCGATGGAAGCAGCGGCCTGCAAGTCCATTGATTAGTCATCTCATGAATATTAATCAATCTCACGTGCATATTCAATAACGTTCTCTCGCATTTCAAAAATAATCGCCAGGCTCGCATAAAACCAGAAGTGAGGAAAACCGGAAAGTGACCGCGGAAAAATATTGGTTAAAGTTATGAATCATGTCGGGGCTTTAAAAACATTGGAATCTTTAAGTATTTGTTCTTATAACATTCTTTCTGATTATTATTTAAACTCATATATTCCCTTGAAACAAACCCAAAACCATAAAAATGATAATAATAAATATCAAACACAATTATGACTAGCTTAATCTGTATCGACCGACGAAGAAAATGAACTCCAAGATGAAGTTGGAAAACCTGCCAAGAAATGTACATAGGACATTTAATACAGGGCTGAGGCAGAAGAATGTTGGAGAGACTCTATAAAAACGTTATTAAGTCAGCTCAGTGCATTTATCATCTATGTAGATACTAATGCAAGATAAGATGTTTTTAAGGTAGTTCACAAAAATACATTTTGGTCAATAGAGACATATTGCAACTTCGCCTTTACGTGTAAATGGTGAGTGTTTAGGGATGAGGATTTGCCGAGCTGCTACTGCATGAGGGGAAGGAAGATGATGATAATAATGAGTACGATTACATGTTGTAGATCATTTCTCACCGCCACCAAAAGTGTAACATTGTGAACACCTAACTCGTTTCAAGCTAGGCTTGGTTCGTCTCTTTATCAGAACCATTAGAGACTGGCTCGTACTGGCCATCGTACTTGCGGATGCTGGTCAACACACCACTGACACCTACAAGCAATTTAAGGTTCCGAGTTCAATTTCAACACTACTGACGACATAATTCTTGCTGATCGATTCTGTTAGTTTAGCATTTAATATTTAAAATTCAACTGCACCATAAATGAAGTAATCTGGTTGATGTGGGATAAAAAAAAATAAACAAATGAATATAAAGAATTTTATTAAATATTTATATGTACATGCGCGCGCGTGTGTGTCCAGCGTGTGTATGTGTGTCCAGCATGTGTGCCATATCAAAATTATTAATTTGACTCAATTCATTTGTTACTAATAATATTAGTTTATATACAGTATAATAATTGTACTAATACTCGTATACACTGATTGGCAAAAATTAAAATGTAGGTAGAACATTTCCTAGTCAGCAATTAATGTAAGAATGATGTGGAAATATTATGAAAATTGCATAAAAAAACGAATTTGTTACACTACTAAACAAAAACGCCAAAACCGAAATTGATAACGTACATTACTTATCAGAGGAATTATAAAGTAAAATATACTGAATGCATTATATCAAGCGTCGCAAGACTTAACAAGAAGAATCTCTTTGCTTCACAAGTCCGGAAAAAAGTTAGGGTTAGTTTCTTATATAAAAAAAGAGATGCAGAATATTTAACACCCGATTGGTATACTCTAAAATAAACAGACTAATGATTGGCCACACAAAATTAATACATGGATATATATTAAATAACTCAGATCAAACAATATGTCAATATTGCGAACACAAATTAACAATCCAACATAATATAACTTGCGAGAACCCAATTACACATAGACATAAACATTTAATATATAAAGAGCTTCCAGAGAATTTTAAGAATAACAATAATATTATCAATGTAATAAAATTTCTGAAAGATTGTAACTACTACGATATGCAACAACAACAACAACAACACACGTTTAGACGGCATTTTCCCCGAGATCGGGGGTTGCCGTTTGGCTACCTATGATGAAACCAAAATACCCCTCGACTCCATCCACATCTGTCACTCGCCTCAGTATCACGCAACCCCGCTTTCACCCTGTCCTTCTCCACCTGCTCTCTCCATCCCAATCGCGGACGACCCCTTCCTACCACTAACTACTACGATATGATTTAAATATTTTTCCCATAGTATTTCTCTTTCCCCACGTTCAGTGCAATAAACATTTTTCATATTATCTGAACTTCTATTTTTCCACATGAAAAAGAAAATAATTTTTTCTTAATTTGGCAAACAATTGCACCACTTTGGGAGCATAAATGCCGTTAAATATGAACAACAACAACAAAAATTATATAAAAAATAAAATTACAACATTATTTATAAAATTGAAATAAAACTGATTAAAAACTGAAATTTATAAAATTGAAATAAAACTGATTAAAAACTATGGAATTAAAAAGTAATTATTAATGTGATCAACTACATCTATAAAGTGAATAAAAGAAATACAAAAATACAATTATTGTTAATTATTATTATTATAAAAAAAAGCCTTTCAAAACATCAGCTTTCCAAGAAAGTCGTTTTCCATCACTTCCGTCAACATTTCACCGAACCAAAAAACATTAACCCCCCACCACCAACGGCAACACTACCAGAGATAAATTGAAGATATTATTATCGTTATTATATACTACGTTGTTTATGTTATTATAATTGTTATTATTTTGTTTTATTACCGTTATTCATTACTTTTTGTTACTATTGTTATCATTCACTATTGTCGTGAAAATCGTAGTCCTTGTACAAGCTACTAATTATCGTCGGATCAGTAGACGCCCATCATCGTCATCGTCAGAATGATGGTGACCACGGTGAAGCAACTACCCGCCAGCTCAGATGTATCCATCTGCCACAAGTTCTGAGAAGACGTACATGGCCAGTGACGTCACAGTGAACAGCGCGCAGGAAAACATTGAGGAGATTTCACGCGGATCTGCTGTTGAATTTTGCCAGCAGCATACCAATAATTGCATTAATACTAATAATTAATGTTAATGAATATTAATACTATTACTAAATAATAAAAACGATAATTATTATAATTATTATTATTATCAATATCAATATAACTGGTTTACCAATAAAATTACGATGTAAAAACCGTCAAAAATCGTCGGATCCTGATTTAGCCAACAGAAGACCGCATGCTATCACATGAGCCATCCATTCACCCAAACAATCAAAAATTTCACCACAACCATCATACTGCCACCAAAAACAAAACCAACCTTCAATCATTTCATCATCAGGTAGCTCCCAGTTCTTTGATCGGGCAATCGCCTTGTTCCACTGCATGTACCTCTTCCTGCGAGCTTATGTCGAGTGTGTGCAGTCATAAAGTTAGTTGCTATGAATAGAATCTAATGCTGCTATTGAGAATTAAAAGTAAAGATTATTGTTGCAACGATAAAAAAATGTATTTACCCAGGTGTGAAATGATTTAAACAGAACTGAGCTCTAACAAAAGAAAAAGTTATTTTAGTTACACTACAAATAAAAGTTCAATACAAGCAGTTGTGATGAGCGGAACAAAAACATCATTGGTCGAGTCATCATAGACGTTTGAATGATCGTTCCAAACCGCTACACCTTCAGCCTGACCAGCCATTTTCGCTACACCCAGAGCTGTCATCTCCAACATTGACGGTCTGACTAGATGGTAAAAAACAAAAGTTGTCTTGGAAAAATGGCTAAATATGTTAAGCTTATGTTAAAAATGAAACATAAGCAGTGAAGATCAAGGCACTACAAAGAAACAGACCAACTGGAACCCCTAACAAATCAGCCTGCATCTCCAACAGCAAGTTGTTGCTTGACATTCCACCGTCAACATTCAACACTTTCAACGTTATGTTCATGTCCCGCTCTATGGCTTCGAGGACCTTGAAATCATTAATTTAAATATTATTTTTTTAACAACAAAAATTAATGTCCAAAAGTAAATTAAAAGCAAAGTCGAACTGACATCAACGGTTTGGAAGCAAATGGCTTCTAGAGTTGCCCGAGCCAGGTGAGCCTTTGTCGTTGACTGGGAGAGCCCACAGATGATTCTGAGAAATTTTTTTTAGAAATATATCAAAAAAGGAAAAAAAAATATTAAAGTGTCATGTATCTCATTCAAGCTTTAAAAATGATTTTGAAAAATTTTAGTTGAATGGCTTGCGTACCGGAGAAATATTGTAAAATGCAACTAATCATAATTATCATCAAAAAACTTCATTGGAGAAGTTCACAAGCATTAGAAATCTTTTGTTACTAATTCTGGTTTAGTTATGTAATTAACGCAACAACAACAAACCATCTTAACATAATAACAACAACATCAACAACAAACCATCCCAACATAATAACAACACAACAAATCATCTCAACAAAAAAAAAACATAAATCTCAACACAACAACACCACAACAATACCAGAGACCATCTTAACCTGATAAAAAACCACATAAACAACGCAACAAACGACAATAACAAACAGCAACAACACAACAAACAGCAACAATACAAAAAACAACAACCCAACAAACAGCAACAACACAACAAACAACAACAACCCAACAAACAACAACAAACAGCAACAATACAACAACAAACAACAACAAACAGCAACAATACAACAACCCAACAAACAAACAATAACTTAACTTAACTTAACAAACAATAAACAGCAACAACAATAAAAAACAGCAACAACAACAAACAAATAATAAACAACAGCAAACCCCCTAGCATGACTCTCCCAGTAAGGAAAGAAGAGACCAGAGAAGGCCGGCACAAAGTAACAATTCTGCGTGTCTGACACACTTTTGGCCAGTGTTTCTATGAAAATGAAATTAATCTCAGTATTGTGATCTGTAGCGGATAGGAGCAATTAAAAAATCTTAAACCTCGTGATCAAAGCAAGTCTAAAAGAAATAAAAAATCATTATTATCGATCTTTAAAACGGATGCCAACAAAGTATGTTTGTTGTTCAGTTACATGCAGGACGTTGCAGTTATCAGTTAACAATTATCGGAGTGTAAGCTATAAATTTTAAAGTAATATTATACTCGAAAAGAACTACCACATCTATATTTACCATGGCTGTATAACTATAAAGGTAGTTGTGTTGAAATAAGAAATCTCAACGATTGTAGTAACTCAATAGCCAAAGATCACAATAGTACTATAAAAATAATCACGATAGACATAACGACAAACAAACAAACATACAAACAAGCAAACAAACCAACAAACAACAAACAAACAAACAAACCAACAAACAAACAAACAAACCAAACTCGTTGGTATTTTTAATGATTCCCATGTTGTCTCTCAGCCAATTAGTGGCAGCTCCAGCTATTGCCACAGAGCCCTTGTGATAGTGGTTTCTCAAGAATTACATCAAATTCACAGCCGTAATGTACACTTTTATAACTATCAAAACCGTTGGATATTATAACAAACATCATTCAAAAAATAGGAAAAATCGCCAACCATCCAGCCGTCCAACCAACCAGCCAATTAACTAGCCAACCACGAACACAATCAACCAACCAGCCACTCAACCAGCAAACCAACCAGCCAGCCAACCTCTAATGCATAAAATGTGGGCTTGTTGGGACCTGCTTTGTAAGCAACAGTAGATAACAGACCTCGTTTTGACGATATAACCTGACAATGACGTCAACATTAAATACGTCATCATTTCGCATTTAATACGTTAGCACTTCATTATTTACGTTCAAACTTTAAAAAAACTTGATTGAAAACAAAACGAACAGTACAATACGACACAATCAGTAACAAAACCAATATGATATACAGTCGGACCTGCGTATAACGAATTCGATGGTTCCAGGAAAAATATTCGTTATAACGAATTTGATGGTTCCAGGAAAAATATTCGTTATATAGAAATTTCGTTATATAGAGATTTTTGTTGTATAAGGAGGTCCGACTGTATGTCATTTGTATGACATATGTCATATTGTCATTTGTATGAGGTCAGTTTTGAATGATTGCTATTTGACATCGTCATTTAACCACTTACTTGTGTGCCGGTGCTGCATAACATGAAGCAACCTGTCCCGTACCTGTTGAAATCATTTAATAATTTATAAATTATTTTCTAACAACAACAACAACACACGTTTAGACGGCATTTTCCCCGAGATCGGGGGTTGCCGTTTGGCTACCTATGATGAAACCGAAATACCCCTCGACGCCATCCACATCTGTCACTCGCCTCAGTATCACGCAGCCCCGCTTTCACCCTGTCCTTCTCCACCTGCTCTCTCCATCCCAATCGCGGACGACCCCTTCCTACCACTCCTTCAACCTCGAACTCCAACGCTCGCCTAATCCCGACCCTTTCATCCCTTCTCAACACATGTCCATACCATCGCAATCTCGATCTCCTTATCAATGTCACAATGTCCTCATTCAGTCCCATCATTGACATCAGCTCTGTACTACTCCCCCTATCCTTCACTTTAACCCCACACATCATCCTCACCATAGCTCTTTCAGCCCTCTGCAGTACACTTTCCTCCTCTCTCCTCAACACCCTAGTTTCACCACCATATACCATCGCTGCTCTCACACATGCTTTATATACCCTCCCTTTCATCTTCACTGACCATTTCTTTCCACACAATACCCCACCCAGTTCCCTAAATTTCATCCATCCCACACGAACTCTAGCCGTAACTGCGCTCAAACATCCTCCATCCGCATTCAGCTTATCCCCTAAGTAAACAAAGCTTTCCACTCTTTCAATACCACCACTCAACCCCGTCCTTGCGTCCGTCCTATTAATCACACCATGAACACATTTCTTACATTTGAACGTGCCTTCCACCTTTTTCAGTGCCCCCCTCACACCACTACATCTCTTATGCACCCATT